GTTAAATACAGAGGTGCTGTATCGATTCTTTTTTACGTTAAGTACAGAGGTGCTGTATCAATTCCTTTTTTACGTTAAATACAGAGGTGCTGTATCGATTCTTTTTTACGTTAAGTACAGAGGTGCTGTATCAATTCCTTTTTTACGTTAAATACAGAGGTGCTATATCGATTCTTTTTTATGTTAAGTACAGAGATGCTGTATCAATTCCTTTTTTATGTTAAGTACAGAGGTGCTATAGCAATTCTTTTTTTATGTTTAGAAACTCCTCAAAATGAAAAGATTTATAAAATGTAACTGTGATGAGTTGATGGAAAGTCTTGAAGAAACAGAAATTCCTGTAGAGCTGAGTTTCCTAGCTTATTGCAGTAGATAAATCAACAGTCATACCTTCCATTTTTAAATTTGTAGATGTTCATGTGTGTAGCACGGCTTATGTGTATATTTTTACATGTAATTTTACATGAGTAAATGTGGTGTTTCCTCTCCAACAATCATACTTCTTTAAAAGAATAAACCTTAAAGGAACAGCTAGCCCTGATCTCAGTGCATATAATGTAGTGAGCTCCAGGTTAGAGAACAGAACATTGATTTTGTGTCTCATGGTTTCCTGGTTGATTAACTTAACTAGATTGGGCTCAAAGAAAAGGCTGGATGAGGGATCTGAGCACATGTGCATACAAAGATGAATAGAAAAACAGAATTCCAGGAGTTCAGTAGAAAACGAATAGATGTCACTGAGGAATGGATTGTGACTAAAGCCTAACTTCATTGTGCCTCACTGGCCAGACTCCACCCCTTAAACTACTTTCTTCATCACAAGCTTCCCCTCTGCCTGGTGCAGGCTTTTGCTCTGGGTTCACATTTCCAGTGTACTACGTTTCTTCACTGAGGCCAACAGAGATTCACTATTTAATTGTTTTAAATCACAGTCTTTGCATAAATGTGTTCCTGAGGGATGGCGGTGCCTGGGGGTCTATAGTTCAACAGTATACCATAGATGTAACGTAAGTGACCATCACAGAACAGACTGTACGTGGGGATGGTGTACTTGGCTCCTGAAGGTGAGATGGAGGCAGAACGTCCCTGTGAAGCCCAGAAGCTGTGCAGAGGGGCCGAGCTCCGATACCAAGAATTTACTAGATTTATTAGTTTCCTGAATAGGAATTCCCATCCCGAAAGGTTGAATGCGAATGGGCCATGTGTGGTTCCTGGGACACAGGTGCAGCACCCCCTAACAGACATTTCACTGCTTTACTGACAGTGTCTAGTGGTTGGTTGAAGGTGTTGCTCACCACTCTGTGGAACCCTCATTTACACTTCCGCCCTCCTCCCCCATTCATTGTATTAGACACCCATGTCACTTTTTTTTTTTCCCATTATGTGTTTTCATAGTCTGTGATTGTGAAAAGTGTTGAGCGAAATGCCTTAAATATGTATGAAGCAAGGAAATGTCTCCTCGGACTTGAAAGCAGTGGGGTTACCATAGCAACCAGTCCATCCCCAGCATCGTGCCCTGCCGGCCTGGCATGTCCCAGCTTGGATATCTTGGCTTCGGCAGGCCTCGGACTCACTGGACTAGGTATAAAATTTATCATTACAGTGGTTCTGATCACTGGGGAAATGTGTGTCTGTTCCCTCTTTCCACCATTGGGGTCTGGGCCTGAATGCCATTTTCTTTGAGCTGTAAGGTGAGGGAAAAGCCACAGAAGCCGATTCATCCAGTCAGGGCTTTTTGTTAGGCTCTGTGGAATTTGGTTGCCCAGATTCTTCTTGTGATGGCGTAAATCATTGAGGTCTGACTTTTATTTTCAGTGACTGTGTTTGTTCTTCTAAATTAAGAATGCCTTTGAGATTGAAGGGAGCCGGCTGACTGTAATTTATGTGTTTGTTCTCTCTTTTGCAATACTGCTATCTGCCCCTGGAGATGGAGATTTTACAGTTTGCTTTTCAAAGAGTAATTGAGATCTGCAGGGGAGGAGGAGAAGGGAAAGGGGAAGCACCTGAACCCACCCCGGGTTAGGCCTAATGAGCCAGAGGCCAGGAGGGAAGATCTTGAACCTTCTTCCTGATCTTGCCATAGTGGCCTCATCCGAGGCTGCTGTCTTACAGGCTGGCCAGGTGCTCTGTCGTGGTTAGGCCCTGTTTATGGGTTTTCTGCCTTGTTCTTCAGTTGCCTTTACACAAAGCCAAGTACAGTAGCCCAGCAAATCACTACACTTTCTTTAGAGTGGATTTGAAACAGGAAAAAAAACCACTTTGAGTGAATTTTTCAAAATTTGTTTTTCTCATATGTATTTTTAACTTTAAAAAGTGTAGTGTAATGGACTCAGTGGTCGAGTGCTTGCCTGGCCTGCGTGATGCCCTCGAGTCAGGCCCCAGCACTGAAAAAAAAAAATTGGTGTGTTTATAGTTTGATTAAGGCCCCAAATAGCTGTGCCAGAAACCTGGACAGTCCCTGGAGCATAGCAATCAATGTCTGTGGCCCAGGACACTGCAGCCAGGCAACTTAGCAGGCACTCGGTTCATCCTCATGGAGACAGAATGAGCACAGAGGCGGAGTTCCTGAATGAGAACCGGTGTCCACAGCCGTGTGCCACACTGTTGCTTCTACTCCCACACACATGCACACGCACACACAGATGCACATTTTATTTTAGGATGAAGCCAGTGTGTGTTCAGAGATCCACAGAACCCTCTAGTAGTAGAGCTTGTCTACTCAGGGACCAGGCAACTGGTCTACCTCAGAAAAATATCCTAGACACTGCCATATGTGAATGGCAGGGAGGGGGTGCTGGGAGCTGATAAAGAGTGGGTCACACAGAGAAATGAAAGCGAGTCCCCCCTTGGGCTGGGGCTTGTCCTGGACAAGCAGGAAATGTGCATGGCACTCGGTGCCCATGGCTGCTGTGCTGGCTTGGGCACATCTGTCTTCCTTTCCTCTTAGCGTCTTTCGTGTATTGGAGACTAAGCTGATTCTTCTGTTGGGTTTGTATAAAGAAAGATTTCCCAGGAGTATTTAAAGAAAAACTGTCACCCATATTTGAGAGGTTAAAAAGTATTCAGTTATATTGATGCTCATTCTAAAGATGATAATGTCTATATTTCAAAGCCTTGAACTTGAGTATATTGACTTGACTTTATCTCTTACAGGTCTGTTGGGACCTACTGCCTTGTCGCTAAACACCTCAACTTCCCCAAACTCACTCCTGAATGCGCTTAACAGCTCAGTCAGTCCTTTGCAAAGTCCGAGTTCCAGCACCCCGAGCCCCACGTTGTGGGCACCCCCACTTGCTAACACTTCAAGTGCCACAGGTCAGTGTCACTTAAGTATAATCAGAGGCATCTCCTTAGACATTGTCTTGTTTCTAAATAAAATTTGCAAGTGATTCGGTTTCTTTAGGTGAAAATTTAGGTTCAAAGCATCCTCCAGCACAGCAGAAATGCCCTGCTGTGTAAATTGGTTGAAAGGAACCAGAACAAAGCAAGGAGCTTTCATACAGGAAGCACATCATCCTCACAGGTGACACACACATCAGGAAAAGCAGCTGTATGCCCAGGCCCTGATGGCAGGAAGGTCACAGACTGAGTGCTGGGAACAGCTTTGTGGGGAGGAACTTGCTCCTCAGTCACGTGGCCAGGCTCAGCCTAACTGCCTTCCTCATCTGTGTGGTGGGGGCATGGGAGTAAATATTGGCTGAAATGGTCTCATTTAACATTTGTTTGTATATTTTAAAAAACCGTTTGTGTGGTTGTACACACATGCCATGGCACTCATGTGGAGGTCAGAGGACAACTTCTTTCTTCATGTGGTTTCCAGGTATCAAACCCAGATTATCATGCTTGGATGCAAGCCCCCTTTACGTATTGAGCCATCTTGTCAGCCATTTATGATTTAATGTTACATCTATTTACAGAGAGTTCTTAAAATGTTCCAAATTGATAGTTTTTGGCTTTTTTTTTTTTAAGAGTTTTGTATTGTTCTAAAAGATAAACAGTTGTAGGGCTGGAGAGACGGCTCGGGAATCTAGGTTCAGTTCCAAGAACCCACATGGCAGCTAACAACTGTCCATAACTCCAGTTTCAGGAGCTCTGGCACCCATTCTGACCTCCGTGGGCATTACAGGACACAGGTGCACTTCCCATGCATGCAGGCCATACACACATACATATCAAATAAAAATAACAAATAATGTATTTTTTAAAGCATTAACAATCGCTTCTGGGTGGCTCCCTGTCTAACACTTCTCTCTAATGGTTACTACAGGTTTCTCTGCTATACCACACCTGATGATTCCATCTGCTGCCCAGGCTACCTTAACCAATATTTTGTTGTCTGGAGTGCCTACCTATGGGCACACAGCCCCATCTCCCCCACCAGGCTTGACTCCTGTTGATATTCATATCAACAGCATGCAAACAGAAGGCAAAAAATTACCAGCCTCTTTAAATGGACACGCACAGGTAATGCCCTTCTGCAAGGTGGCATGGGGTGGGGCGGCATGGCCTGTGCTGTTGGTAGAGAGAGATGCCACTTGCAGCCCGTTTCAGAGTTTACCTGAAGGGATTCCTAAACTGTATTCACGTTTCATTCATGATTTCAGTCTTCAAACATGAAATATGGTGCAATATCCACTTCATCACTTGGAGAAAAAGTGCTGAGTGTGAATCATGGTGATCCCTCCCTGCAGAGCACTGGGCCGGAGCAGACTTCCTCCAAGTCAAACCCTGCAGAAGGTGAGGAACTGAGATAAAGGGGCCTGGGAGAAGTCCCTGCCAGTCCCTCTCATCAGTGTGGCTCCTAGCTGGGCTGAGGGGCCTGGGTCTTTGGGGATTCTGAACTGCTATTGCTCAGTAGTTCTGACCACTCCTACCTCAGCTATGAGGACAGTCAGTATTTTGAATGAAATTCCAGAGAACGTGGTAAAAGATGGGCTGAAAGGAGGTTTCCACAGAAATACCACTTTTCCATCATTGACTAATGGAACAGCATCATCTTACTAAATGTTTCCCTATAAACAGACCCCCAAAAACCTTTCAGAAACAGGAGTGGGGCCTTGAGTTGTTCATTGGAAGAGCATTTGCCTAACCTTTCGAAGGTTTCGTTCCCAGTAGGGAGGAAAAGGACTAAATTTGGGGCTGAAGATATACTCGGTGGTAGATGCTCGGCTAGCCTGCCTGAAGCCCTGAGTTCAAACCCTAGTACTGCAAGAAAGAAAGAGAAAGAAAAAGGCAGGAAGGAAGCACTGAGCTCTCACGGAGTGTGGGTACGTCTTCTGTACCCCCAGCGGTCTTTAGGGAGCACGGATTCTTCAATTTGAGATCCTACACCAACATGAGTTTGCCACGGAGTCTTCTTTGGGGCTGAGAGTGTTGCTACAACTGCACAGACTTGGGCCTCCACAGAGCTCTTGATTTTTCTCCGCTGCAGATAATTGCCCACTGTAAAGTTTGGATTTTCTCCTTCCCTCCTCTCCCCTGCAGGTTGTAATGACGCTTTTGTTGAAGTGGGCATGCCAAGAAGTCCTTCCCATTCTGGGAACGCAGGTGACTTGAAGCAGGTGCTGGGCCCCTCCAAGGTCTCCCGTGCCAAGCGGCAGACAGTGGAGTTACTGCAAGGCACAAAGAACTCCCAGCTACGGTACGTGTTCTCCTGAACCCCCACGGCGCTGTGGGCAGAGCTACCTGGTGGGAAGAGTCTGTTCTGAGGTCAGTGCTTAAGACTCTGACTCAGGTTAGACCTCATCATGGGCTTTCTCGTTTCTTTTCATGATTATTTTTAAAGAGTCCAAGGAATGACATCCACAAATTTTCATCCTTACCCATCTTTAGAATCTTCCTCCTACTTAGTTGTTGGGTTTCTCTCTGTGTCCTTAAAGCTAGCCCTATCACCCTGAAACTAACATTCTCTCTGCTCTTCAGGGCTGTGTGGGGGCAGTTTTTAGTCTCTGGCTTTTGCTGTTAGACATTTTCCCACCATGAAACTTTCCATCTGGCTTTGAAAGTCTTTATTAAGTAAGCTGTGGCTCCTTTTTTTTTTTCAGTTCAGGTAACTGTAAACTTGTAAACTTTTCCATCAGTTGATGACTTATTAGTAGACATCCTCCTCACAGAGCACAGTGACCAGTCCGCCCCCCTTGTTTCCTTTAATCCCTGCCCACAGGTGGCAGGTTCCATTCCACCCTCCCCATCAGTGGGTTCCTCTCCTGTCTTGTTAACTTCTTGGCTATCGTTATAGGATGTCTTTATGCAAAAATTAGCACATATATTCTAACTTCCTCCATTTCTTACTAAAGAACCATTTTGCTTTGGAAACCCTGGTCTCATTTTGCCCCGCTCTCATTTGTCTGTCTGTCTGTCTGTCTGTCTGTCTGTCTGCCTTTACCTGGCTCTCATACCCCAAATGGCCATTCTTCCATGTAGATTAGAGAAGCACTTTGCTCTTGGTTGCACGTTTGCAGCCCACACCCTTTCCCTGTTGAACACATTCTCGGTCTTTCCTCTTCTCTCTGGATGGGGCTGCAGCCTCCAGCACCGTCTCCCATCAACTTAGCCTGACTTTTCTCTGAAGTCTGACTGCCCAGCTTCTTCCCCCTTTGCCCCCCGACCCCCCCGTTACTGCTCTCCTGCCCTTTGGTATGAGCGAACGTGCGGTGGTGTTTTAATTCCTAGTTCAGATGTCCTCCCTGAAGCCTCTGTCAACATCTGTCAAGCAGGTTTATTGCTCCTGTCTTCCAGAAGCTCTCTAGAATCCTCTAACACAACTGAATAATTGAATGAGTAGAACTGAACTAATGAGCTCTGACTTGTGCATGTACCCCAGTACATCATGGGTTCCAACTCAGGTATGCAGCCTATTATAGGAGGCACGTGGAGGCTCTGCTGGTCACCTAAACAGGCTCTGGAGAATCTGTATTCATGTGCTACTCTTTTTTTGTAACCAGTAGCACAAGCAGTCCACACATGTGACTTCTGTCCTCCATGTACCTCCAGACTTAGCAAGTCTGTTTAGACTTTGTCTGCATGAATCGTTGATATTTGGTTGATGTACAAAAATTAGAAACCTTGTCTGTACATCCCTGTGTACTGCATTCAAGATACCAAGTGCACCATCTGTAATGTGGGTGTATATTGTGAAATTGTTTCCAACCCTGGTCTTAGAGCCAGACGGCCCAAGTTCAAATTCTGGCCCTGCTGTCTACCCACCCCTCCATGTGTCCCCCAGTGAGGCTACAGTACTACCTCAGTGTTACTGTGCCATGGCATTGCTCTGGAGATTGAATGAGATGAGGAAGCAGAAGCACGCAGTGTCCATGGCACACGGGAAACAGGCAGCATGCGACTCTGTGACGTGGACCAGTAAATTCTCAACTCTCTTTGACAGCAGCACCGACAGGTTGCTCTCGGACCCTGAGCTAAGTGCTGCAGAAAGTCCTCTGGCTGACAAGAAGGCCCCGGGGAGCGAGCGAGCAGCTGAGAGAGCCGCAGCTGCCCAGCAGAACTCAGAGCGCGCCCGCCTGGCCCCGCAGCCTCCGTATGTGCACATGCAGGTAATGCGGCCAAAGGCAGCCATTGAGGCTCCCGGCTTCCTGCGAAGAACACCGGGCACGCATCCCGCATCCGCAGTGCAGAGGTCGGGCCGCCCCCTGCGCCTGGTCAGTGTGAAATGTGAACAGAAGCAGGGGCTGGGTGTCGGTTTTGCCGTGTTAAAAATGAAATGTAGGGCTTAGCTTAAGTGAAAATGATTTTTTATAGTATTAATTATGGTGATAACAATGCGCATCTGTTATTTGGAGTTTTAGAGAGTTGTGATGCCTCAAAGACATGGTCTTGGAGAAATAAATCCAATACTCTTCTGTCTTGGAAATGAAGTTGATAAATTTGGAGCCACGTTGAGATGGTTATGCAAACAGCCAGTGTGAAGTTAAGTCTTCGGGAGAAGCTGAACGGTAGTTCATGGCCTGAGGGTCTCCTGTCCATGGCGGCTCCCCCTCCTCAGCCAGGCCTTTCTCTGTGTCCGTTTTCAAAGCCTTCGGCTAATTTCTCAGAGCAGATTGCTGAGCGTAAATAAAATTCAGATGTCTGTTCTGCACGTAGGGCACACCAGGTGAAGCTTCAGTGCTTGTAGGGGGACAGCTCATCTTTCAGTACCACGATGACTGAGTAGACTTACCTAGTTCATGGATTCCTCTCTCTCCCTCATCCCATCACCTCCAAAACAGTCACACAGCCTTAGAAATAAACAGTATTATGTTGAAAACCTAATTCACGGAGCTAAATTATACTGTGTTAATTCCAGTGTGACGTACAATCCAATCCTTGTGGTTGTATCCTCATCCTTTGCATTTGAACATCTGTGTGCACTTTCAGGTAGAGAGAGTCCACGGCCTTCATTCACCAATATTTTTCTGGTGGATTCATTTTTGGCTACTCTAAGTTAAAATTCTCTGGTTTAGGAAACACCAAATCTCCTTTATTGTCGGACATCCTAACACTTTATGACCCTGTTGTGAGTTTGGTCATTGTGTGGCTGCTATGTCTATTGGGCTTAGGCTCCAAGTGAAATAATTTCATCTTTCTTTTAGGATGAAAACGTTTTTGATAGTGGCAGTTCGTCTTAAATGGATGAGCTTATGCCATTAGGGAGAAGCTGGCTTCTAAAATCACCCAGAGTAGGCAAAGAGCTTGATAGAAGAAACAATGTGTGTGCCCCATTTTGTGTCTGTCTCCTTACCCACCCTTGGGGAACCATATCTCCAGCTCTTTGCACACTTCTCTCTCTGACTGATTTATTCTAAAGTGACTTCTCTTAGCCCTCCAAAGACTTTAAGTCATTCAAGCTGTAGATTTTTTTTTTTTTTTTTTTTTTTTTTTTTTGTCTTTTTGAGACAGGGTCTCCCTGTAGCCCCAGCTATCCTGGAACTCACTATGTAGACCAGGCTGGTCTACATAGTGAGAACTCACAGAGATCCACCTGCCTCTGCCTCCCAAGTGCTTGGATTAAAGGCGTGCGCCACCACGCCCGGCTTGTAGATTATTTTTGATACATTATCATATTCTTCACAGAGCTCAGCACTCTCTTTAAGCAGTAGGCACTCGGTAATTATTAGTTGAAAGAGTTAGGGTAGGTTTTCCTGATGCTTTGCCCCTGGGCATTAAAGGTGATTTTTAACTTCCAATGCAAGTTTAGCACAGCAGTGTCCTCAAACACTGTCATCTAAAAGCATCTCCTAATGTGTTCTCCTAATGTGCTGCCATGTTTTTAGGGTCACAATGTGTTCTGCGATGGCCTAGGTTTAGTTTGCCACCTTAGCATAAGGATTGGTCACAACTTGGTGTACTCTCTCAAGTGTCCTGTTTCTGACTGCATATTCTCTGGGGACCATACACACACACACACACACACACACACACGTGTATATATATGTATATATACTGATAACAGTCTTCCTGACAGAAGAGTCAAAGAGCTCTGCCAAATGATTCTTCGTTTCACGGTAGATCTTTGAGACCCCCTTAAATCAAGTCTTATCTGTCTCCCCGATGGAGGTGAGGACAGATTAGTATCTGACGTGTAGCCACGTGGCACACTTCCTTCAGTGAGGCCTATTCTGGTCTCCGCATAGGCCTGGCCACACACTGTCACCCTTCAGCATTAATGCAACCAGTGCATGGTGTTGCCTGTTCCTACGCAGTGAAGGGGAGCTAGGCTCAGTTTTATTACATTGTTAGTGATTAAAGCTAGGTCTTTTCCATGTGTCTCACTTCAAAAGCCAGGATGAGCCAGTTTGGCTGATAACAAGCAGTATTAGGACTGTCCCAATTCTCATGGTTTTTACGTAGTGTAGAGGGGATTTTGAGATGGAAAAGACAAAGGGTACTTGATGGCATTCAGATAACACATTACTTTGATGCTTGTACCACTGGTAGGATCTTCACTTTGCGGTAACATACAGTGGTACCAGTGTGGACGGTAGTCCTAGTGAATAAGAATTTATTTTCATTTGCAAGAAAAAAAAATCTAACTTTGCCACTGCCCTGGCTTCAAGCTAGAAGTCACAGTGTGACTCTGGCTGGTTTTGAAGACTTTTTGACCTTGGTTACATTTGTCTACGGTGTAGAACTTAGCAGCTGTCCCCAGCTGATTCGTAGGACTTAAGAAAACCTCTGTCCTCTAAGCATGGGTATTGGCGGGTCGTCGGGAGAGTGGTAACGGGGCCCCTCCTCTGCTTCGTTTTCAGGCATTTGACTATGAACAGAAGAAGTTACTAGCCACCAAAGGTAAGTGGTTTCCACTTTGCTTTGCTTTTTTATGTAGAAGTGGTTTTACGGTATTCCTGGTGATTGGAAAAGCAAGGTGTTTATCAAAAGAAACCCAAAATAGTAGAGTTCATGTTACACAGATGCTGTTGCAATAAAATGTTTGAAGAACACCAGTACAATGAAGTCTTGTAGCTTTTCCTTGTTTACTGTTTTGTTGGATAAAATGTTTTATTAAAATATTCTTAGTCATTTTGTGTTAAGAAATAACATTCAGTTATAATTTCTTCACATATGTCAAAGGAACCTTGTTCATCAGTATTTTATTTAAGACATGCATTAAACACACCAGAACTTTCTCTTATATTCTGTTTTTCAAAGCGATGTTAAAGAAACCAGTGGTAACTGAGGTCAGAACGCCTACCAACACCTGGAGTGGCCTCGGGTTCTCAAAGTCCATGCCTGCCGAGACCATCAGGGAGCTGAGAAGAGCCAACCACGTGTCCTACAAGCCCACGATGACAACTGCCTATGAGGTGTGTGGTCCTGTCCGAACATTGCCCACAATAGCCAGCTCCCTCCTGTCCCTGGTTCTGCATGGATGGACTGAGTGGCTGAGTGGAATCAAGTTAATCTTACATAGTAACCATTTTCTCTCCTCTCAAAGTTGTTTATCAGCTGTTAAGGAGGTAGAAATTCGGAGGTGAGTTTTTGTTGGGGGAAGGGTTATCATAAATGACAGAGAGAGGCTGAGAGCAAGCAAAGGCTGGCTGTAACTTTTCATAAAAATGTACAAAGGTGGGTCTGGAGAGATGGCTCAGCAGTTAAGAGCACTGGCTGCTCTTGCAGAGGAACCGGGTTGAATTCCCAACGCTCACATGGTAACTTCAGTTCCAGGGGCTCTAATGCCGTCTTCTGACCTCCGTGGCCATTGCATGCACATGGCATACCTACATACATGCAGGCAAAATAGTCATATACATAAAATAAAAACAAATTAATTAAAAATTTTTTAACATACAAGGACTCTTTTGTCCCAGGGTAGCCCTAGCAAGGCCACCATTGGGAGACTAGACAATTCTCAGCATGTGGAGGAAGGACCCCAAGTTCTGCCCTCCCCTGGCATGTGACTTCTGAGCAGACCCTGTTCATTTGAGAGTGTCAGACTTTGGCTATAAATAAGCCTTAGGGACTGGGGGTCTGGCCAGAGCCAGCTTGCACACACATGGTCCTGGGAGACTGCAGAGTTAGAGTGGATGAAATTGGTGAATCCAAGCATCCTGTTCATCCACAGCCCTGCAGGCTGCAAATGTGCTGGCAACGGTCTCACGATTGTTAGTCTAATAACTAGCATTTGTAGACGGACCTTCTCCTCTCCACCCATTTTCTTTGTAATAAGCCTGTTGATGAAAGGCGAAAGCAAACATTAAAAAAAAAATTCTGGGGGTGGGGAAGAAATTCTTTGTCTCTTTTGAGTAAGCGGAAAAGAAAATACTATTGAAATACTGAACAACAGTCCCCTGGGGGCTCCCCCGTCAGGGTGGTGGGAGCCAGCCAGCTGGCAGCCTGTGTTTAGGATTGAAGTGACCTTCCGCAGTGGAGCGGAGGAACCATTGTAAAACAGTTCCAGGCTGTAGGAGTCCACACCTCCTCCCCCCACCAGAGCTTTGAGAGGAAATCAACATCCTCTTTTGTTAGCAAAAGCTTTACCTTTACCTTGAGACTTTCAGCCTTACATCAGCAGCCAGTGGTCCGTTTCCTTCGCCTCTGCCTTTGGCAGAGTGAAGTGTGGGTTGTTCACTGTGATTTCGTCATTTCTAAAATGAATCCTTTAGCTTTAGAAATAAAATGGTCAGGTTTACAGGGTCCGATAACCCTCAGTGGTTGTATGTACCAACTTGATGAGACTTCACTCTTGGCAGCCTGCATTCCCATTCGGGTTGTACTGACCGGGACATCATAGAGACCACGGTTCCCAGGGACACAGTGAGTTCTTGGTAATGTTGGGTGGTTATTACTATTTCAACTGGAGAACTTTGTCCATAAGAAAACCAAGGACTGGGGCTGGAGAGATGGCTCAGCGGTTAAGAACACTGACTGTCCTTGCAGAAGACCCAGGTTCGAATCCCAGCACCCACATGGCAGCTAACAACTGTCTCTAACCCCAGTTCCCGGGGATCCGATGGCCTCTTCTGTCCTCCGCGGGCACTGCATGACATGGGTGCACTTACCTACATACAAGCAGTACACGCATACACATAAAATAAATAAAAAACCAAGGATTGACTGTGAACACTCTTTGGAGGAAGTAACTGCACATTCAAGCTCCGTATACTTTTTAAAAAATACTTTATTATTTTTATGTGTACCAGTGTATTGCCTGCATGTATGTAAGTGTACCCATGTTGTGCGATGCCTGTGGAGGTCAGGAGAGGGTGTTGGATCCCTTGGAACTGGAGTTACAGATGGCTGTTAGCAATCATGTGGGTGCTGGGAATTGAACCCCCTGGTCTTCTGCAAGAGCAGCCAGTGCTCTTAACCTCTGAACAGTCTCTCCAGCCCCTCCTTATGCTTTCTGTATACAGAGCAATACTTCTGAGTATTGTGTGAGCACATAAGGTATTAGCAAGAATTATTTTAAGTGGATGAGGTTCAATTCTTTGTGTTTATAAGGTAGGTTTTCAAGTACAAATTTATTCAGTCCCCACAAACTTCCAGTGATAAAAGAGGGTCCCAGGATGAATAATGTTTTATCGTCATAGTCAGTAAACGTCAGAGAAAAATCTTGAATTCATTTTACAGAATTTCCTTAAACAGCTCTCCCTAATGAACGATTTAACTCAAGGAGTGCATAGGAAAGGGGGACGTGTAACTGAAACTGAGCCATGTGGCATGGTTTTAAGATGTAGCGATCATTTGGAGGAAGAATCTGCATTTCTGTTGAGCTCTCTCAGATCTCATTTGGCAGGTAGGGAGTGAGGAGTGACCACATGGGTGAGGCCAATGCAGGCAGGCCTGAGGAGCACAGCTGTGCCGGGCTGCCAAACGAAGGGGGTTGTAGGCAGTGCAGACGTGTGGCCTTGATGACCCTCTGTTCCTGTTCCTGCCCAGGGTCAGAGAGGGTTTTTTTCTGTGTGCGGAAATGTTCAGGGCTCTGTCCCAGGGCCTGAACCCCCTCTGTCTCTGTTGCTTTGGTTGTCTTGGGCTAATCTGCTTCATCCCCCAGATTGGTGTCTGCTCATTCACTGTAACAGGTGAGGGTAGGGGCTGGAGAGATGGCTCAGTGGTTAAGAGCACTGGCTGTTCTTGCAGAGGACCCAGGTTACAATCCCAGCCCCCACATGGCAGCTAACAATGGTCCCTAACTTCATTTCAGGGGATCCGATGCCCTCTTCTGTCCTCCACGGGCACTGCGTGACATGGGTGCACATACACACAGGCAGGCATCACACTCATACACATGAAATAAACTTGGAAAGGTTAGGGTGACCAGTGAGACTGGAGCACAGGCTGGCACTGCTGCTTTTCCCTGCCTTGGTGAATGCTACGAAACGTAGACCCCAGCAGTCTTCAGGAGAGGTGTTCTGGAATTGCCTTGGGACTAGGTCTTTTCTAATTTCAAATGTATTAGAATGGGGGGAAGGGGCTCCTGACGCTGCACTACCAGATGTTCCGCAGCAGCTGTTCTGTGTACGTGCATGCCTTTCCTTTACCCTGTAGTAGCTCAGAAAAATTGAAAAAAGGTTAGTGTGGGTTGAGACTGGCTCCTGTCGATGAAGGATTTGGGGAAGATCTGGAACTATTAGAATATAGTCCCCATTAAAAGAGAGAGCCAGTGTATGTTTTTATCTAAATTGTAGGGTGGCCTTACAATTCACCCTCTTTAACTTTTTTCCCAAAAAGAAAATCCAAAGGGACAAGCAAAGTACGGGCAGTGCGCTGCAGCATGCTTGGCCGTTAAGACCCTGGTGGCCGAGCGCTGCTCCTCAGTGTGCCCCCCCCCCCCCCCAGTGCTCCAGGGACTTGGGGCTTCCTGCTTCAGGATATTTGCTTGGTGCAAGAATTAGATACTTTTGAACGCTGTACTCAGCATTAGTGGGAAGTTAGAGTTGTGTACTTTTTCAAGGTTTTAGACAACTAAGTAATTATTCCATTCTAAAGATCCAAGGCTGGAGCTCTCCAGCTTTGTTTTCCTTCCGAGACTGAAAACTTTGACCCTAACCACTTGGTGTTGAATTGGAATATCAAAAACCAAACAAAAGGCCAGCTTTATTTTAGCTATTTATTTATTTAGCCTTTTTGAGACAGGGTCTCCCTCTAGCTCCAGCTGGCCTAGAACTTTTTATGTAGACCAAGCCAGCCTTGATCTCACAGAGATCTGCCTGCTTCTGCCTCCCCAGTGCTGGGATTAAAGGTGTGTACCACCATTGCCCTGCCAAAAGGCCAGTTTTGAATATGTCCTTAACCCTTCCTGCACTGGATATTAGTAAAGATATTTTCACTGGAAAATAAAAATGTAGTTTTTTATTTTGGAGCCATAATTTCCCTAGATCTGAATCAGCAAAGGTACCCCATAGATAGAGGAAAGAGAATATTTTCTATAAGATTTGAATTTTTAATTGAATTTTTTGCAAATTTCATACACTATATTTTGATCATATTCTGGCCCCTCTCCTATCTGCACCCCTCTCATAGCCCTCCACCATATTTCATGTGTTCTGTCTTACATGTTAAGGCCTATCAACTCAAGTTTAGGTTCCCACAGGTCCTTCAGTATGCATTCATCCCCTGGAGCCTGCTTAATCTATTTAGCATCATGTGGTTAGAGAAAACCAACTCTTATTCTCCCAGAGGTTACCAGTTACCAGCAGGTTCCTCAGCAAAGGTTGGGGCTTCTGACCCATTTCCCCACTTCTCTGCTACGATTTTGTCTGGCTTGAGCTTGCATGTGTCTTGTGCATGCTGTCACCACTGCTGTATGTTCATATGAGCAAGTCCCCAGCTGCCTGGAAACCTTTGTGGTCATCCACCCCTCTGGATCTTAGTCTTCCCGCCCCCTCTTCCACAGTGGTTCCCGAGCTTTGGGCGGCAGAGGCTGGATACAGACACCCTACTCAGGTACAAGCACTCTGCAGTCTCTTAATCTCTACATTTTGGCCAGTTGTGGCTTTCTGTGTTAATCACCATGTGTTGCATAGGAAGCTTCACTGCTGAGAGTTGAGAGAAGCATTAGTGTTCGCTCTACTCCATTCTACTGTGTTCCCTGAGCCTTAGGTGTAGAGCTTACATTGTAGATGTGTCACTTAGGACTGGACCTCTCACAGACACTTATTCTCTACATTTGACCAGTTGTAGAATTCTGTGATAGTCTCCATCTGTTGCAAAAAGAAGCTTATTTGAGTGGTGGGAGGTGCACTTGTCTATGAATACAAGGATTCGTATTTAGAATACGGTTAAGAAACGATGTTGGCTTAGGTATGTGACAAAAGTACGTTTTTCTCTAGGGTCTGCGACCTCTCCACCCATGTATATTTGGCCATGTTTACAGTACTACACTTGAGTTCACACCTTGAGGAGGTCTTAAGTCCAATTAGACAGCTCTTGATTACTCCTAAGATAGAAGTACCACTTAGTGCACCAGTAGAGATCATTTCCTGGGCTGATTGCTGTTGTGGTTCATAGACTTTACAGCTGGATGGGATCATTGATTAGTTTTCTCCTTTGGCAGTTTTCATATTGTCTTCTGATGCTATGGGAGTTAGTCTTCAGAGATGAGGCCTCCAGATCGATTGCTCCAAGTCCTGTGTCCAGAGTGTGGCCTGTCTTCAACAATAGGGTCTGACCTTCAAGTGTGAGGCAGTCAAGGGCTGTGACAATAGCCTGTGTTATTTAGGAAGTCTCTTGTACTACCCTGACCAACAACTCAAAGGTTGCTTCCCCTGCCTGGCCCTGTGTTCTTTCTTATATAGTCTTCACCTATACATACGTGCACAGAAAGAGGGAGAGACGGGGGGGAGGGGAGAGAACAGAGTGTTTTTTGATCATCTTTTGAACTAATACAGTTCCTTCTGGTTTTTCACACCATCTAAACATTATCCCTTTTCTCTCTCCCTGTATAGCTGATTCCAGGAAAGGGAATCTTTGAGATTCATTCAGTATTGTTGCAAGTGTAAATCATCTGTTGTGTTCCCGAGTCAGCTCTGTGCACTAGAGATACCGGGTTTGAACACAAGGTTCTTGCTTTCAGGAACAGACCTGTTTTCTATTGGGTAGGAGAAACACAAAAGCTCAGTAAGCAGGAATGCATAGGGTAATGGAAGTCCCTGATAAATATGAAACCGAAGCTGCTTTAGTTCCAGTAGCCACAAGCAGGCTTCATGGGCAGACGGCAGTCAAACTGGTAAACCTTAAGTAGCAAGGTCCAATTTTGTGTCAATCTTGGGGAAGACTACTATGTCAAGGAACTGCCATGATCATCATGGCATCAGAACTAGTGGAGAATTCTTGGAGCAGAAGGTGGGTAGAAGAGTGCATCCTTGGAGGTCAGGTTGGAAGAAGACCAGTCCTGGAATACCCCAGGCCATGGTAGAGCAGAGTAGAATCATGGAGAAGTATGAAGCATCTCTGCCCATCCTACCAGTCAAGGTCGGCAGAAACCCAGGTAGAGGCCGGCATCAGAACACCAGCCTTGTTTTGTGTAATGGATCACAGGGGATGGCCTTTGAAGAGGCAGTTAGCCCCAGCTTGGAGGCTGAGAGAAGTGGGCGGGCTAGGAGGATGTCAGAGGTATTTTCAGAGTTCACCATTAGGTTAAATGTGTTGAGGGATGAAGGAATCAAGCACGGGTGGTGCATACAGGTGTGTGGTGGAGCATCAGGTGTGTGACGGATTCTCTGGCTAGGATATAGGAGTTCTAAAGGAGGAGGAGGTTCAGTGTAACTGGTGGGCATGGGTCCTCAGTGACTTCGTTTAAGATGCTTATCAAGCAGTATAACAGGTGTCAGATGACAGTTTCTGATTCTTAAGTTCCACAGGGATGTCAAATCTAGAGGCAGAAACCTAGTTCCCAATCTTGATGAGCTTCACAGAGGTTTGAAATCACTAAATGAGAAGGAAGAAATGAAGAGGTTTCCCGGAACCAAGCCTCAGGGGTCCCTGCCATTTAGAATGGAAAAGAGGAGGAAGGCCCCACCAAGGGCATAGGGAGATGAGAAACCTCAGCATGGGGGCGCCACGCCGCCAGGTGGACATGTTTAAGGGAGGGCATAGTAGCTGTGGTTGCACGGTCGTGAGACCGAGTTCAGTAAGTTTACTGAAGTGAGTAGACTTCAAAATTGCCATTGAGCAAATCAAAGGATGTTGCCTCTCGCACCATGATCAAATACCTGATTAAGGGGGTGAATCAGTGCAAATTCATTGCAAACTTTTGAGTTGTTATAAATTATTCTCATTTTAAACTTGGAAAATTAAAAGTATTTTTGATTTAAAAATTTTTAAATTTTTATGAGTGTTATACCTGCATGTATGTAAATTCACCTGTGCTGTGGAAGTCAGATCCCCTGGAATTGGAGTTTCTGACAGTTGTTAGCTGCCGTGTGGGTGCTGGGATTCGAATCTGGGGCCTCTGCAAGAATAGCCAGTGCTCTTAACTGCTGAGCCACCTCTCCAGCTCATTTATTGAGAATTTTATGTAATACATTTTGGTCATACTCAGACTCTCCCCCCGCCACTCTGCCCTCTACCCCCAACTTTATGTCCCCTATTATTTTTAGTATTTGAGAATTTTAAAGGATGCATTATCCCAAGTCACTGGAACTTGCTGGCAGGACCATGTCCTTGTTGGGCCCGCGGGGGAGGCACCAGCTCTGTTCCCCACTCTGGATGCTAGGCTGGGAGCTTGCATCTTCTTCCAATCTTGTGTGAAGTAAGGCAGAAACCCAGCGCTGAACCTGGTGTGTGTGTGTGTGTGTGTGGGGAGCTTTCTGCTTCCTAAAAACAAGGATGAACTCAACCAGTACTGTTCCAATTTTATAGGAAGGATTCTTTGTCCTGTGTGCTCCCTGAACTCTGTCCCGTGCAATCGGTTCCCCTTGGGGATGGGATAAGATGTACCTGTCTCTGTCCTTGGCTGCTGGAGGACAAAAGCTACATCCTGAGAATCAGTACCCTGGGTAGCAACAAAAGGGAATCTCAGTGGTCTCCTTTGGGTTCATTTCTCCCCCCACACTGGGAGCAACTTTAGCTCATCCTTCTGGCTTGGACGGTTTGCAGGGCTCCTCCATGTCCCTCTCACGGTCCAGTAGTCGCGAGCACCTGGGAAGTGGCAGTGAATCTGATAACTGGAGAGACCGAAATGGACTAGGACCCGCAGGTCACCACGAATTGGCAGCGCCCATTGGCAGCCCCAAGCGCAAGCAGAATAAATCAGGTGGGCTTCGACTTCTGTTCGGACTTAAAGATGTTCTTATCAGCTTAGAATGTGGACGTTTGGTTTGAGGTGGTAAGGTATAACTCTGGTTCCGGAGGTAGAAAGTGCTGGCTACGAATCACGTGCTCCTCCTTCCATGAGGCCACCCAGTTTCTCCGCGACTCTCTCCTCTCACTGTGCTCTGTGCACGCTCTAGCACTTACTGTATCGTTTATTTACAAATACGTTGTGCCCTGTACAATCCGAGCTCTGCAGTTCAGGCACAGTGATAGTCAACACTTGCTTATTTTGGTTACTCTTTTGAGACAGGATTTCGCTGTAGCCCTAGCTGGACTGGAGCTCCCTCTGCAGACCAGACTGGCCTCCATTTTCTGCCTGCCTTTGCCTCCCAAGTGCTGGAATTAGAGGCATACACCACCGTACTTGGTGAGGACTTACTAAATGCCATGTGCCAGGCAGGGTGTCTGACACCGCGCAGGCAGATGCGCTGTAACATTTGTGCAAAGAATAATATACACAAGCATTCAGTGACAAGTGATGGAAATGTGAAAGCAGTTGAGAAAATACTGTCGGATTAGCATGTTAGAGAAATGAAAAAAATCAGCTGTTAGAGGGGAAGGACAGCATTTGGCTTTTTACAAGACATAGCTGAATTAGCATAAACAGGAAAGGCACTTCAAGACACGGTTATTTTGCCTAAGGTAAATACGGTGAGCATGGTGTGTTTGTAAGAGCACACCCTCTCCTAGGGGGTATAAGCGTGTAAACAGACAGACATCCACACAGCACAAGGTGTGTTCCTAATGCACTTTATTTAGGGTTCTTGGCAAATTTGGAATTTCAAACATGTAGCCTGTAATATCTAAAGAAAGGCATCGCAGATGAGTGCATTAGTCGTTACTGGCAAAGTGGCTGCAGGAGTCTCAGATTTAAAGAATAGAAATATCATTGGCCAAGTCTGAAGAAGGCACCGTCAACTCTTAGTCCCAATGGAGCCTGGAGACTTCCTCCTAGGTACTGGCTGAATCCGCTGACACGCACAGTGTTGTCAGCTGGCATCTGGCACAGACCTGGGTGTAGCCCAGCAGAAGCTGGTTTTGTGGTGCTTGTCAGTCTTTCTTTTCATTTAACATTGGATAGTTTTCACAAAACTGACTGACTGTACCAAGCAGTTGCACTGACATTTAGGATGGGTTCGTTAGCAAAGAGAAGCAATTACAGAAGCCCAGCTATTTGGTTTCATCAGGAGTTTTACGAGTGTGAAAGTTTGAAAGATACAAAAGCTATCAATAGTCAACACAAAAAGAAATGTTAGGGAAACTTTGAGCCATTATAAACATTTATCCCTGCATGTCTTATTCAGAAGAATCTATTATTTAAATTTTTCCTGACATGCTTTACTTAGCCCAGATCTAGCAAGTATTTTACACTGGCTCCACATTTTAACTCCTCACCTCACGTGCTCAGTGTATGTTGCCGGGGGCAGCTGTACTGAGAGCACCAATAAGCTTTTTTTATTCTTTCTACCCCGGTCCACGTCTCGAAGTCTCCATCTTCTCTCGGTACCCTTGTTTATACCAGGTATTCAAATGTAGTTTTTAGTAACTTCCCTCTGCTCCCCCAGAAGGTAAGTTTATTCTTTAGACAATAATTTACATTGTCAGCCTGTGACTTCCACTCCCTGGAGGCCAGTGGTCATTCTGAGGTGGCATGACTTTGCCACCATTGACCTAGTGCCCCCCTGGCCATCCCCACTCTATTACGATTTGGGGGAGGGACTCTGCTTTAACTCTCAGCGGTGGAGAGGCCTAAGAGGTTAAATTATGGGTCTTCCCATTCCTATACCTCCACAATAAAAAACCACCTGTTTTCAAGAGAGAAGAATTTAATAAATTCCTTCCGGGTGGGATACACGAAGGGCTTCTCAGTAAGGAGATGGAAGTTGGAGAAAGCGTGTGTGGCACCAGGAATGGTTCACAGTAGACGCTGAGGTTCAGCGGTGCACAGGAATGGACTGTATGCATCTGCCTGCTCCTGTCAGTTTGCTGGGAATCCCTCTTAGGGCTGTTTCCTTCCTGTGAGAGGATGGAGCTCTCACCATAAGTCATGGGGTTAGGAAGACTGCACACCTCTGCCAGATCCTCCAGTGCAGTGATTGGTGATGCACGGAGCATGGTTCTGGGTTGTCAGTTGGTCTGACAACCAGACTATAGACAAGACAGACCTCTGTGTTGCTGTGTTAGAAATTTTCCCAAGAACCCTTAGCTTGTATCATGAATTAATCAGGAACTTGAGCCTCATCATTTGTGGTAGAAATGATTTGATGGACTTGCTATCTAGACACATTTGCCAAGGCAATGGGATTCTCGTTAGCTCCTGACTGACGCTCAGGTGTGGTGGCAGTGCACCGTCCTGCCATGCACATGGGGTCTGGACCTGTAATAACTTCCCAAGCCTTTACTGTGTCCCAGGCATCCTCCCGGTTCATTTAATTCCCATCAAATCAGTGGTAAAGAGTGGCTGCTCGGGGAGAGTGTGGTGAATGCTTAGTAACTATAGAGGCCTCAGGGCTGGATTCCCACCTCCCAAACCTAACCACTGAGTGGCAGGAGCCTCCCCACAGCAATAAGCAGTGTTCTTAATGAAAAGCCTGTACCTCGGTGAAGGATGGTCATCTCCCGCAGCCGGCTCTCTGTTCGGCTGAACAGTGAAATCTGAAATATTTGGGTGATTAATACTTTTGATTAAACCTTGTTCCCTGGGCGTCTACACCGCCTGTCTGCCTTCCAGCCGAGCATTATCTCAGCAGCAGCAATTACATGGACTGCATTTCCTCGCTGACGGGGAGCAATGGCTGCAGCCTCAACAGCTCCTTCAAAGGCTCCGACCTCCCTGAGCTTTTCAGCAAGCTGGGCCTGGGCAAATACACAGACGTCTTCCAGCAACAAGAGGTCAGTCAGCCTGGGCATCTGTTCTGGTTGGGTATGACGACATTTAGAAGAAAGCCATTCATTGATGGGCCGTGCTTTCCTTGAACATTTAGGACAGTCTCTAGCTTGTGATTGCTGAAGAAAATGTCTTTTTTTTTTTGAGACAGGGTCTCCCTGTAGCTCCAACTGCCCTGGAACTATGTAGACCAGGCTGGCCTTGAACTCACAGAGATCCGCCTGCCTCTGCCTCCCGAGTGCTGGGATTAAAGATGTGCGCCACCACGCCCGGCTTGTCTTATTTCTTATTTAGTTCAACTAGGAAACACAGGAAAGTGGCACACAGAGAGGCACTGTAGTGTCCCTTCCAGCATAGCCGGGGGCGGGGGGGACCCTGCAGCCACAGTTACCCTGAGATCAGTACTGGGGCTGCAGGTCTTTGAATTTCCTTCGTCAGTCCATTTTTGTCTTTATTTTCGGCACTTTTAGTAAATAGCAACCTCTGAAATAATACTTAGCTGCTTTCTAAGTCTAGTCTTGGAAAATACAGCATTTAAAAAATGTATTTTATTTTACATGCATGAGTGTTATGCCTGCATGTATGTAAGTACACCACATGCATGTAATGTCCTTCAGAGGCCAGAAGAGGGTGTCAGATCCCCTGGAACTGGAGTTATGAATGGTCGTTAACTGCCATGTGGGTGCTAGAAATCAAACCTGGTCCTCTGGAAGAATAACAACTGTTAAGTGCTGAACCATTTCTCCAACCCCCTAAAATACAGCATTTTTAAAAGTCTTTTTGAGACAGGGTCTCCCTGTAGTCCCAGCTGGCCTGGAACTTGCTATGTAGACCAGGCTGACCTTGAACTCAAGAGATCCGCCTCCTGAGTGCTAGGAGTAAAGGTGTGTACCACCATGCCCGACTTAAATACAGCACCTTTAACATGTTCATTTATTCAGTACCAAACGGTTTCAGTTGACGGGCCTGAGACAGAACCAAGACATCTTCTAAACCGTTATTACAATATTTTTGTCAAACTGATTAGCCACAATCTGTGCCTAATATATTGACATAAGTAACCCCGCACATGATTTATTCTCATTTTATTTCAGTACCACCGAGGGGCTGATTTAGACCGTCCTGTTAATTACCACTTTCGTTTCGCTGCTTGTTTCTTAACTCATGGCCTCAGGCTGGTGTCACCACTGTGGGTTTTTGGAAGTAGGTAGAGGTGAAAGGAGGTGTAATACTGACTGTAAAGAAATAGGTACTTGGGGCTGGAGAGATGGCTCAGCGATTAAGAGCACTGACTGCTCTTGCAGAGGATCCGGGTTCAATTCCCAGCACCCACATGGTGGCTATGAACCGTCCTTAACTCCAGTTCCAGGGGAATCTGATGCCCTCTTCTGACCTCTGTGGCATTGCACGACACTGGTGCACTCACATACATGCAGGTAATACACTCCTACACATAAAATAAAAATAATAAAATATTTAAAAAAAGAAATAGGTACTTGACAGATGGGCTACAGCTGCTTCCTCTTTTCCCCTCCCCCTAGATTGATCTTCAGACGTTCCTCACGCTCACCGACCAGGACCTGAAGGAGCTTGGAATCAGCACCTTCGGTGCCAGGAGGAAAATGCTGCTCGCCATCTCAGGTGAATATGTGTTCAACTCGTACTTTAAAATCTGAAAAATACTCTGCCCAGGCTCTCCACCTCCAGGGCTGGCTTGGCCCATCAGCTTGCTCGCTCCGCTGACACTGTGGTGGATATGGTTCCAAGGGTCTGACGCTGACCCATGTCAAGAACACCCTCCTCCTCCCAGGTCCTTCCCAAAAGCCTGCCTTGACAGCGCTCTTAGACTAGACCTACCCAGAAAGATCTAAACAAAGCCCTGTGCAGAACTTGAGAGTGGTTGAGCAGTTGTGATAAACAGTCACTGGTTTCATGACTCATTATTCCTAATTGAATGCCATATTGAACTGTGTGTGTCCTGACACACCAGGATCATTACATCAGGAGGATAAGAGCATCCGCTGTTTCGGCTTGGAATGTGGCAGACTACTTGACTTAATGACTTCCAGTTTTCTCCATGCTTTAATAGAATGTGGATATTATCCCAGAGGGTGTGTCACAGACTGAAGAGGCTCAGTACCTGCCCCCTAGTCTACTTTCTCAGTCCATTTGCTGCATATTCCATTAGTCAGCGCACTATACGTTCATTGGGTGCCACTCCTCTGAAAGGAATTGAGCATGAAAGTCCAGAGTTTGCAGATACCTACAGGTGCACCTTGAACGGGGATTCAGAGAAAGGTGGGCAAGAAATATCGGGGAGGTAGTACTAGCTTTTGAAGACTGTCCGATAGGGTTCTTGAATGTCAAATTTACGTGTGCCTATCTCTTAACAAGACAGAGCCACTAAGGGTGAAAGCCAGGTGTCCTGTACTGTGAGCTGTGACTTTGCAGACTGGTCCTGTGTGAGGCCAGCAGCTGCTTCCAGCTAGTGAGAATCCATTCCAGACAGCATTCCCTAATTAGATCAGGAAATACAACCTGAAACATCACCATTTTTCCATTTCATTTTAGCATCAGATTGCATTACCCTACCTACTACCCCATAAGAAATCTTTAGAGCAGATATGGGCAGAAGAACTTGAATTGGGCAGAAGTCCAGTATGGGTGATTTCTGCTGCAGCCCTTAGACTCCTTCACAGCAGGTCTGTATGCATCAGGGTTAGGAATCTGCCTCCACCTGGGGCACCCACCAACCTGCACGGTTGGTGCTCAGTTCATAAGATTATTGTAATCTGTGAAGGGAACACTGGATTCAAGTAGAAGACTTGCACTTTGTTGGGCCAAGTCATGAAGTCTTGAATTTGTTCCTAAATCTCTCTTGGTTTTGATTTATTATGAAAGTAGATTGGAATTGGTGACTATGTAAGTCCTCTTCCATTTCTAAGAACTGTGTTTTCGTGAATGTATCAGCAGGCTTAATGAAAATAGAAAACTACAATCAGTATATAATATTAGCAGCATGCCCCTGTGCCTTATGCCATCTTTGGTAACAAGATTGGCTTTGCAACTTCTTTACCCTAAAGCTTATCCACAGAGGGTTATTCTTAGAGTCAAATTACCTTCATATACTTACACATTCTTTTATTAATTTTCAAGTGAATTGATACACTACTTGAAATTCAATTAATTCACATGATGCTGTCGAAAATGGGCCTCTAGCACTTATTCTAGAAAGGTGTGAATTCCAGCATCTCCAGTTCCAAGCTCTGTAAAGCTTTTGAGCACAGTGGACATCTAGACACTTGAACAGGCTACAGGTGGATCATCAGTAAGCTGTCCTCTGGAATAGGGCAGCACCTTTCGCTCTGGGTCTGGGATAGTGCGGAGTAAGATAAGAAACAGAAAGGGTTTGAATCCTCTTCATTTTCCTAATCATAACCTTCAGCATGATTCTTCCAAGGTCAGGACTGGCTCTGCAGACCTCTCTCAATGCGCGCAGACTCTCTTGCTTTTAAGGGGAATAAGGTACCTTGTGAATGCTCTGCACAGCGTGAAGTATTTGATTATATTCAGGATGATTTTTCCTTCCAATGTTGCGTGCACCTACTAAATTATTTTCTCTGCAAGTAATGTTTTTATCAAGAAACCCTTCATCAAAAAGCTGCTTATTCCAATTCAACTTACCTGATAACAAAGAGACCCACTTATAGTCCCCCAAACTTCCCATTTCCAGGGCAGATTTAGGCCTGACTCCTGCTTGGCTTCTGGTCAGATAGTTTGCTCAAAACTCCTTTTTGAAGGTTTGCTGGTTGTTAAACTTATCGTTGGAGCTGTTCTTTCAGCATGACATTTTGTGGTGTTTTTACCTTGGCCTGTATTTTAATATTATAGGAGACGGACTTACCTCTAGTAGGGAGGCATCCAAGAATAAATAAATTTGAGGGTTTTTTAATTGGCAGATTGCTGAGATTAGTAATTTGTTAGCTAGATGGACAGACTCAGTGAGAGGCGTGTAAGCATCCTGTTGACAAGCCTCCTGTCCTGGCCTCAGGTAGATCTAACATCTCCCGACCTATTCTTTTAGTTTGTGACTCTGTTCAGATCCGCAACAAGATCCTGAGAGCTGCCAGGATTGTGTGAACCTTGGAATGTCAGAGAAAAAGGTTGGTATTTTCCAAAACTATCCTTTAGGCTTTCTGAGAAAAACAAGTAGTCAGAGGAAGGAGCTTGCTTTTGAATTTTAAACATAACAAAGGCCCTGAGGGGCCTTCAGTAGGACTTGATCCTTGGTAAGCTCTCTGGCATATTTGTCTCGGAGCCTCATATTTAGGAAAAAAAGCATGTGTGGCCCCTTTGAGAAACTGCACCTTCACAGGTGGCTGCGTCCCCGTGTGGCCATTTCATTCTTTCCAGGTCAAGCTGATGTAATTTCTGAAAATAACCTCATTGGCCCCATGTGCAGAGGAGGAGTCTTTGGCCTTATTCCTTCCGTTCCCTTCCCCATGATGTGGGAATCCCCTTCTGACTTGTGTCTTACACGCCCATGAGAGAATGGACCACACAGGGAGTCTCCTAGAAGTTTACCTTGAAATACATTCAATTCCATCTTGAGTTTTGAAATTCTGTTTGTGGGGTTTTTTTAAATGGGATGTATATACTTGTTCCTCTTTTAGTCGGAATGTCAGATTCCACAGCAACGGAATCGCATCCATGAGGACACGTGCCCGTGTGTCTCTTGTTCATAAAGATACTTGTTTCTTCAGTGATTACAAACTGGTTAATACTCGGTTACTGGGCACATCTGGATCTGTAGGTGCCTCCAGCTGCCCTGCCCAGGCTGCGGGGTCTTCTCTCTGTGGCCCAGTGCTCCATGGACTTTTGCATCAGGCAGGTGGGGGACTCCACTGCCACTTCATCAGTATGTGCACAAGTGACATCAATGCCTTTTTTTAAAGTCAGTTTTCCTCATAAGATTGGGGATGCTCGTGTTATCATCCCCTGAGCAAAGACATGAACAAAAGAAGATAATTATGTGTTTGCTTGCCATAAGCTCTATGTATTAATGTGATCTCTTTTTCTAAGAATTATGTGTTAATTAAGGAGAGGTGATGGACCCTTATAGGGCAGACATTTACATTTTAGAAATAATTCAGGTGAACTGGTAAGAGTGCTGACCTATCTTCCAGAACTCCAGGAGCATGCCTGGCCATCTGGTGTCCTGAACCACTTGGCCTGTTAGAGACAGAATCTGTGTTCTCATTCTTAACAGCTCTGTAGCTCCCAAGGCTTGCACTGTGACTTCAGAATTAAAAAGTAAATGTGTGTATATTGGGGGAGTGCTAAAAAACTGACTTCTGTGCAAATAAAAGGTGTTCAATCACCTGCTTCAGTCCCCCCCCCCCTGACAAAAAAGACCAAGTCAATTTTACAGCCCTTCTGATCTGTCTGAAGTTGAACAAATCAGAAGATATTTGCATTTGGTAGTTTTCATAACCCTCGATTACCCACGCTCACAGGTGCGCTTGTCTGAGCGCTTTATAGAGACCTCTATCAGTGATGCCAGGGTCCATGGAACAGTGTGGATGTAGAGTCACAGATAGTCTTAAGCAATTAGTGCTGCCCTTCTGCTCCGTTAGCGTACTGCCATGTAAGATACGTTAAATATGTTTCCTAAGTATTCTGGTTTCTTTGAAATTAAAATAGGATGCTTCGGGGGTTTTTCCCCCTGAAAATTTAAATTTGAACATAGATTGTTTCATGTATTAATTTTCTAAACTGATATGACTTCTACTAAGTTAATTTTTTATTCAAAACTCTTTTCTGTGGATATGGCTCTTCATCTGGTACAAGAGGCACAGGCCATCTGAGTTGGAACTGTCCTGGCACTGCAGGGCTCCCCTGTAGCCTTTAGGTGTGAGAGTCTCTTCCATATCTGACTCCACCTTCATTCTTTGTGTGTCTGACCATGTGGAGAATGCAAAATTATTTGTTTTAGGGGGTGGGTGAGAGGGGCTGGGCCTCGAACCCAGGGCCTCACACATGTTAGGCGAGAGCTCTACCACTAAGCTATATTCCCAGTTGTAATAATCTTCTGTGCCATTGCTAATACTTCTTCTTAGGTGCCTTTCACCAGCCTCAATTATGCCCTGTGCCTCTGAAGCCCTTTGGCATAGTGGAGCTGTTTAATGTGGTTAGATACTGAGAATGACACTTCCCTCAAGGGGCTTATGGACCATAGAAAACCCAGGTGCTGCTCATGTTCTCCCTCTTGTATGGGGCTGGTACTCAAAGATGTCTTAACTGAACTCTTCCTTCCCTGGCTTTCCCCTGGAGCCCACTTCGCCACCATTTTCTGAGGTCTGATACGATGACCTTACATAGAGAACTTCTCCACCGGACTGCTAACAGTTCCCTCTTTTCTTTGTTTCTTTGTCTCTTTCTCCCTAGAGCTAAATAAAAACCAAAGAAAACTTTTTGAACCACCGAACGCACGCACCTCTTTCCTGGAAGGCGGAGCAAGTGGGAGGCTGCCTCGCCAGTATCACTCAGACATCGCCAGTGTCAGTGGCCGCTGGTAGCAGAGCCATCTGGACACCTGCTACCTACACAGTGGACGTGATTGCTGGACATGATCTGTGAACAGCCTTCACTGCATCCCCTCCTCAGCATTCTGGGTGTCTGGTATCAGGACCAAAGCATCAAACTCAGACCTACTTTATGGCAGAAAGGAAGAGAAGAGAGGTGGCGCCAAGCAAGCCCCAAAGATGGACTGCTTCTTCCAATGGCAATTGGACAAAATTTGCAAGATAAGGGTAGGGCTTTACTTCTTATTTACCTGTATTACATATGCACTGATATATATATATATATATATTTACTTAAAATGAAGGAGAAATTGATATCTGGGATGCCAGAAAATTTAGAAGTTATTTTATTGGTTTGCTTGGTTTTGGTATTTGGGGATTTGAAAAAAAAATCAAAGTGGTATTTTCTGGCATTACTTTAAAATAATTATTGAGGTCCTCCAGCACTTTACATGGTTCCCTTTCTCAGCCTGTGGAATGACTCTCTCTCCCACCCACCCCCCCTTTTCATGTCTTCTGACATTGGTACAAATCAGATCTGTTCACATATTCCTGACCCCATCACATTCTTGTTTGAAATGGTACTGGATACTAGTCTCTAGGCAGAATTTTCTGTGGCATTGGGAAATGTGAGCCCACTTGGCTCTGGACCAATTCTGTTCATTTGTGTCAACATCCTAGAAACTTGGCTGTGACCATAGTTCGCTGTCACAGGTACAAAGACAGACCAAATGGACTCTGCAATACTAACCCTTCGCAGCCATCATAGGTAGCTGCTGCCTACACTGCTAGAATGATTTTAATGGTGGTTGAAAGGCAAAGGGCTTTTTTTTTTTTTTAGTATACTGCCACTAAAGGACATTTATTTATATCAAACTTTTATTTTTAGATATTATAAGCATACAGTACATAATTGATGAAATTGATATTTACTAGAGATTTATGGTACAGAATGGACGGCATTCAATAACTGGAGCCTGAGATTGTCACTTTATTTAAAAAGACAAATAACCATCTGACAAGACAGCACTGTTGCCATTTTGAAAAGGCTATGGTCCTTCCTTACCGTGCCCAGTAGCTACGCTCCCTGTGGTCATGGGCCTTCCTCAAAGTGCATCTGTCTGCTCGAAGCTGACTTGTGTTTGTTGAAAATGGAAAGGCTTTACTTAAGTCTCCAGGGTGACAGCTTATAAGAGAGCTGGATTCTGAGGGAAAAAATGTTTCCTAAGTGGCTAGATTTATTGTTACAATCTTATACTGTGAAAGTTGAAGAAATCAGACATTAAGTCTTTTGACTTTCAAATGATTTTCAATCCATGAAGAAAATCACTTAAGTGCCTTTCTTCAAAGCAATATTATTTCCAAGCATATTAATTGTTGGAAAACTTTTCCCATAGGGAAAATTGTCACCTTTAGTGATTTATTTATGCTCTGTATTTCAAGACTTTCCAGATGAACATAAACCACTTACAAGTACTCAGTAGATGGCATTTGACGAGCTTAAAAATCTAGAGATTTGTATACCCACCAGATAAATACTTGCCTAATATGTTTTCCAAAGCTAAGTCCAATCAGTAAAGAATTAAAGAGACTTTTTGCATACAGAAAAGTTTAAAAACAGTACTGGTTATCTGGAAGATTAGTCATGGGTTTTCCGCAACATCAATATGTATCTGGCACTAAACTAAGCCTTAACTGCTTTGGGATACCAAAGGCACCCCATGGAGATACTGTGACCATCTTGTGGGCAGGTAACCATCCCCGAAGCTCACTACACATCCGGCATGTGATTCCTCTTGGTCCACACGGTTCTCTAAATTTTGTTATTTATTAAATATAATCTTTCCCAGATTAAATAAGTCATTTGTCAACTGTGCCATATCATGTGTTCACAAGAGGAAGGAGAATTAATGCTCAGTATTTAGCTGATTTAGGCTTTATGAACAGTGTTGTAAAAGTACACCGGGGGAATCTGCCCACTTACACCAGATTAAATAGGGAGGCTAAAAACTTAAAACACTGGAAATCATTTTTTCTCACTTTCTCTTGATGCAATAAAGGGAATTTGACACTACATTTGGTGTTCTATCATGCACAAAATATTTGGGTTATTTGCATAAATGTTACCTTTTAATCAGTCTGCGCCTTAACAGCGACTGGTTATCCGTAAATACAGAGCAGACACAGATTGTACTTTTGTGTGGGGTTCTGTCCTTTCAGTCACTTTTTTAAAAAAAACAGAGATGGAATTAACATTGAAAGTGGGAATTTTTTTCTAAACTAATCGTTAAATGAGAAATAAATTGATATAACCCCTTTGTATTGCTCTTTCTAGATAAAATGTATCTTTACAAAAAATCTCTATGCACATGCTGTATGCCTATCTTTGTTTTCTAAGATAACTTTTTTTGGGGGTGGGGGAGGCTATTTTCAGCAGACTGAGAGGATGTCTCTGCGGTGGAGTTAAATTCACATCCTCTTTCCCTGAGCTGACAGGGTTCCTCTTCAACAAGGAGCCATGGCATTCTAGCATAGACAGTAAATCTGAGGCTAGCGGTCGGTCCTTGTCTCTCTTGCCAACCACAGGTATATACAGGAGCCACATTATAGAACAGGTTTTATTACTGTTCGTTTGTTCTTTTATAAAGACTCCATTAGATGACGGCTTTGACACACTCACCCATCAGCAAAGGCTCCATGCACACTGGGACCAGGTTTTGATCCTGGTTCCTTTTCAGAGACTGTTGCTCTATCAAATGGATGGTCTATGGTTCCATATGCCCTGAACTCTGTCCAGGCTCATTCTCAAACTGGGAATGTCACCTTATTAGTAATACTGAGATGCGAATCAATCTTAAAAAGAAAAATCCTAGTCTTCCACCCATTATGCCCTCGGGAATATCTCTTCCAGTTATCTGCACCAAGAATTCTCAATTATTTTGAGAACAAGCATTCTTTAAGATAACTGAAGTCTTATCTGAAGCTCAATGAAAGCGATCATCCACTCATTACTTATACGTAATCTCACATACATGTTATATGTATGTCGTTCCCTAGTCTAGACACAGTGGTGGATGAAACAGAAACCCCTGGGCAGGCAAGGTGGCTCAGCAGTAAAGCGCTGGCCACCAAGCCTGATAAACTGAGTCCGGTTTCCTGATTCCATGCGGTAGGAGAGAATTTCCTCCCATGGATTGTCACCTGACTTGCACACATGTACTGTGCATCCTGCCCATCAATCAATCAGTCTTTATAGACAGAAGCAGAACCCCCGTCCTCTAAGCCCACAGTCTGAATGGACGAAGGAAGCTGTTGAAGTGTGTGCATCCTGTGACTTCCTGGCAAGACACAAACACCTCTACACCAAGTAAGAGGGCAGCAAAGACTGAAGAAAGAATTCCCTCCAAGTCCAGCGTACTGAATCACCAGCGAGTTTTCTGGGTGATTTACAGGAGTATGAGTGACTCAAAGGCAGCTCAATCACTGTAGTGCTTCCCACAGCATACCAAGTCGTAGGCAGCCACACCACTGCACAGACCTCACCCCCAAAGAGCCTTTCAGCTCCTGTGGAGCAGTGCTCCCTGAGACCCTGAAGAGCTGGCTCGGGAGGGCATGGGGACAGGAATCTCAGGTGAGTGTGTCACGGCTCTCTCACGGTATGAGGGGAGGTGGTACCGGCCTCATCTTCTCAGACCTGGCTACTAGCCGCACAGCTCTGCTCATCTGCCTGCCTCGTCTTCTGGTGGACACTGCAGCTGCTCTCATGGGGACCAGTGGTCACGTCAGCTCCACCGCAGCCATGCGGAGCCACTCCACCCTTCCACACGAACCTCCATAAGCCCGCCAAGGGCTCTGTGGTGCTGGCTAGAGACTCTAGTTTTTAATAAAATGTAATAAAACTGTTAAAAGTACCCATTACATCAAAATGAGCCCGAGCCTTCAAAGCTAACTCCCCCCCCCTTTATCTCTAGGTTCACAAGTTGAATCATGTGGTCAAAAGCAGGGTGTGGCCAAAAGGGCTTTGATGCACTGCCTTAGTTACGCTCTACGATGACAGCACTCAGGGCCATGGCGTCTCAGATTGGGTCTAGGGTGCATCAGGGTGTTTAGAAATGAATTACCCTAATTTGAGTTTGCTACCACTGTGGACACCCCAAGCACATGGTGATACTTGGCCATTCCAGATGTCCAAACACCGACAGGGGAGTAAGTAAGGTCTCTGGATTAGACTGTTCTCAACATAAATTATCCTGACGTGGGCGGTTACAGCTCAAATTCAGATGTGTTAAAATGCATTGACCCTAACGATAAAGCGATGCTTATCCAAGTGTTACTTGATTTTAGTCCCCAGGAGAAGCCACCCGTGAGTCCCCTACAAAGCTGCTCCAGGTAAGCTTCCTTTCCTCAAACAGTCTTTGGGATGAGGTCAGGTGACCTGGCCAAGAGGCAATGGGGTTGGACATTGTAGTCTGACAAGGCTACAGCTTGATGTTATCGTCATAGCTCAAGACCTCATCCACAAAACGGAAATACACATCATTGTGGTGTTGTTGACAGGATAAAGGGGCTTGGTGTGTCAGTCTTGCTGCGCGGCACAGGGTACCTGCGTCCACAGCAGCCCTCACTGTTACAGTCCACCCTCTCAGTGCATGTTTTCTCCCTTTCCTGGAAACTCACTGTGTTCATCCTCATCAGAAGGGGGACAGTCTACTTCCTCCTCAGCAGGAAGGTTAGGAGGAAAAACAAACCCTATCAAGTGCTCTAATGGTTAACTTGATTATCAGCCTGATTGGAGTAAGAAAACACCCCAGGTGGTAGTGAGACACACTTTTGGGGTGTCTTTGAGGACATTTCCAGAGAGGTTTAACTGAGGAGAGACGTCTCGCCCTGAGTATGACCAGTACCACCCCATGGGTTGGAGACCCAAACTGAATTAAAAAGGAACATCAACTGAGGGTTAGCATTCTCCTCTCTCTGCTTCTGGTCCACTGAGATACAAGCCAGCAAACACACCACTGTCACCGTGTCTCTCCTGCCAAGATGGACTATCTCTCTTCAAACCATGAGCCTTAAATTTGGTTTTCTTTAGGTGTCTGGTTACAGCAATGAGAAAAACCAATACAGGTACCCACTTCCTGTCCTGAGGGTCAGGATTAGGGATCCGACACTACAGAAATGCGTGTGGAATCTGGTTGCTTTGTTTTGATTCATTTAAATCTTTGGTTTTCTAGTGTATTGACAACTGGATTCTCCACGTGGGTAGAAAGAGCTGGTGGCAGAATCTGTCATACGCTGTGCTGTCACTCCTAGTTCTCGCGAGTTCTCAACTTCAGATGCCCCCTGCCATGCAAAGCCCTCTGCTCGCTTCCTGTCTCTCCCTTTTGCCCTCCACTCCGATATTTAATACTAACTTTCTTTATGTAAGTGGCCCTTTTCTTCAGAAGAAGCCGTTAGCTTGGGTTTGTGCTACTTTTAGCTGTTCTCTACTTTAAAGCTAACAGGCATGGTGATATTTGACCATTCCTACAGACACGTATGCCATCATGGGAGTCTACGTACTTGATACACTTTAGCTCTTTCTAAAAGGAGACCAGTAGGGCTGGACATTTTTGTTAGAAGACAGTAACTACAATGTTTCAGATTCATAACAGAGCGGATGTATGACGAGAAAAAGAATGACTTGGTATTGGGGTGTGTGGCCCCTTTTATCAAAGCCACGGGAAACAAATGTCTCTGAACCCAATGTCACCAGTGCTCCTTCACCCATCTCTGAGGCTGTAGGACTCAGACATTAAAAGACATTAGCAGAAAGTCTAGAACACAATTTATGCTCAGACTGTTTACCCAAGCACAGTTGTATCTTGGACCAAGCCACTGATGCTTGGTCGAGTTCTCATGGGTAAAGTTGCCCAGCTCTGCAGATCTGCTGGTGTAGGTGAGTGACATTTCCTTACAGTTCTTACAGTTTTCTTTGTCAGTCACAAGCTGACACTACCAACAGCTAAATGAAGTTGTGTGCTTTGTAAAAATTCTTCCTGTGGTTTGAAAAATGTTCAGTGGAAAATTTGTGCTACCTCTAATTCATCAATTGGAGTTGCATTCGTGAATAGTAGGGAGGGAACAGTCCAACCTGGTATATAATTTAAAAGTAATTTTTAAACACTCATAAAACTAGGTTAAATATAGTCAGTAGAAAACTAAAAATGAGGCAGTAGAGGTTTAGGGAAGTCGAGCTTTGCTTCTTGTACACAATGAAATCACTCTAAAATACCAATGAGGGTATGTTTGACTCTAAAACATCACAGAACTGGGCATGGTGGAGCATGCCTCTAACCTTAGCACACAGGAGGCAGATCTCTCTGAGATCGAGGCCAGACTGATCTATGTAGGCAGTTCCAGGCTAGCTGAGAGACCCTATCTCAAAAAAAAAAAAAAAAAATCACAGAGCTCAAAAGATTAAACACCAGACAAATCAATCAATAAATGGCAGTTTTCAAAAGAAACACAAATGGCCAATAAATATGAAAAATATGCAATACCTTCAGTCATCGGGGAAACGCAAACAGAAACTATACTGAGGTTCTGTGTCACCCAGTGATGATCATCAACAAACCACATGAGGACAAACACCACTGAAGATGCAGAGGAAAGAGTCCCTTATCCACTGCTGGGGGGGGACACACCTGGAAATCGGCTGGAGGCCCCTGAAACCCAACAGCACTACCATGACATCCAGTTTCTGGGCGTCCTAAGCAATCTGAACATCACAGCGATACCTGCACGTCCATGTTTGTTGCTTTGTTCACAGTAGCCAAGATGTAGAACTGGCCTTGATGCCTGTCAGTAGATAAATGCATGGAGTGTGGCATACACAGGCCCAGTCGAAGAGCGGCGGGACTAGGTCATTTGCAGAAAACTGGATGGAACTAGAGATCATGTTAAGTGAACTGAGTCAGACTCAAATACATTTGCTTTCATGTGATTTCAGTACAAGCACACAGACAGACAGACACACACAGACAGACACACACACAGTGTGTGACATGAAAGAATAGAGCTGCTGGGTGGGGAACAAG